ACGTATGACACCATTTATAAATTATTCACGTTTTTTTGATTTACATACATTAACTAATTCATTAAAAAGTAAAGATATTAATCAAGCACGTTCAATTATGGTTCACACATGGAGAAATTTATCTGATGATAAACGTCAACAATATAATTATAGTCTTGTCAAATTTTATTCACCTGTTACACAAAATTATTTACCAGCATCAAATTTAGGTTCTATTACTGAACGTTTAGATGATTTAATAAGAAATTATATTACAACACATGGAAAATTAGATCAAACTAATATGGATAAACGAACATTTGAAAAAATGATTCATTTTAAATCACTTAAATCATGTATTGATCCAGGTAAAAGTGTTGAAATTTTAGCTGCACAATCTATTGGAGAACCTAGTACACAAATGACATTGAATAGGAAGTTAGATTTCGAATATAACTTTTATATATTTGAAGAATTTTTTTTTTTTTTTTTTTGAAACATGATCTAAAACGAATGTTGATGTATAGGAGTAAAAATTTTCGACTTCCACACAAATTGTGACAGAGGTTAAAATATGAACACCGATCGTATATTAATAATGTCGAGTAATCACAGAGTGATTAGTAACAACAGTTTTTGCTATTTGTAATTAAATTCGATTTTTTTTTGTCAACTAGAAAAAATGAAAATAATAAAGATGGTTTTATGCTTTGTCGAGATAAATATAGTTTGAAAACGAATTGAATTAGACTTAAAATTTCTAGTTGATATAGGATGATTTATAGATTTAAATTTCGAATGAATTTATTATCAAAAAGTTAGTGAGAATAGTACCAATATTAGATCGTCGAAAGTTGAATAAATAATACATTAACTCAGTCAGTCGATATGAAACTACAACATGTTTTATGTGAGTTACATCTCATTTTATAACTTCGATTTATATGTGAATCAAAGTAAATAAATCAAGAGTCTTAGAACAGATATATTCGAGCGCGCTGAAGCTCATTGAAAACCTATAACGATCTATTGGAATCCAACAAATACATTATCAGTCAACGAATTCCACTATGATTTGAAATTAAAGAAGAAAATGTGCATCTTGACAAATCCTATTAAATTTCAGCAATCAAAGAATCTGTCGGAGCTCAATAGATTACAGCGGAACTTGAGTAGATTAGATTTCATTTTTCACTTTTCTATGTAATCTTAGCTCCCATTTGTTTTTATGGTCTAATTTCATTCAATTCTGATAGATTATATGGTTCTTGAAATTCAATAGAATCTATTCTTTTTTCTATAAACCACTAGTTGAATTTCACTAAAAAATAGAAAAATGTGAAAATTCGATCTTCTATTTGAAAACGAATTAATATTCGGAAAATTTCATGTTCTTTGAACTAGACCGGTGATATCAAATTTCTTCACTATTTTTCTTTATTTTTAACAATCAATAACAATTCTATTTGACAAATTTTTCTCTTTTTAACCTTTTCATTTTGCTGGTCGTGGTGAAATGAATGTAACATTAGGTGTTCCACGTCTTCGTCAATTACTTATGGTTGCTTCTCAAAAGGTAAAAACACCAACAATGGAAGTACCTATTTTACATAGTTCATCAGCATTACGTAAAGCAAAACGTTTACAACGTCGTTGGTCTCGTCTTTTATTTTCTCAAGTACTAAAAAATTTAAATATACATGAAAAACTTTCATTAAAATTAAATGATCATAAACGTACATATAAAATTGAATTTTATTTTGATGAAAAATATGGAAAAAAACAATTAAATGAAATAATATGTTCATTTGAAACATATTTTATTTCACGTTTATGTCATTCAATAAATAAAAAATGTAAAGAATTAACAACAAGTGCTCTTTTAAGATCAGCCCATATTCGTGATAAGATAATAATTAATGATTCAAATGATAAAGATGAATAACAAGAATTAGCTGAAAAAGATGATGATGAAGATGATGAACAAATTAATGGTGAAGCTAACACATCCAAAGAAAAAGCAAATAGAAATGATGAAAAAGAATATGATGATGATGACGATAATAATAATAACAATGAAGAAAATGAAAACTGATGATGAAGAAACAATGCAAGATAATCAAGATGAAAATGATCAAACAAATACATCAAAAATCACTATTAAAGAAGATGTCATTGATGATGATGTACCAGGTAATCTTATTGAAAATAAATAAGAGAAATAAAACTTCAGAATTAGTTGTTTTTTGATAGATTCTTGAGTTTTATAGTTACGTATTTTTTTTTATTAAAATAAAAAAAGTGTTGTAAATGATGAATTTTAACGACTTATCTTTCAATATGTGAAATTCTTATGTACTGTTAATGTGCATTCTTGATGAAACATGTTTATTATAATATATTACAATAGATGCGAAAGAATACGTATCATAAATCATGACGCACACCTGAAGGATACGAGAAGAGATAATTTTTCTCGCAGCAGAACTAACGAGGTAAATTGATCAACTGTTCAATCTCTTTTGAGTTGAAAGTGTGTTCATCATGTAGGTTCTAATGAACTATGAATAATCTGAATTCGAATTCGAATTCTTAGATTATTGCTACCGAGCTACTCCATTTTTGAGGGTATTGCTTAAATCAATGCCGTGTTCCTTCTCTGGAAAACTTATTTTTCAATTTCAACTTTAACCTTTGTATACAAACAGATCTTAACGAGAATAGTTTATTGTAAACGTTTCAAGTATTTTGGTGTGCTTCTATCTCGAAATAAGAACATTGAATCTATCGATGTATAATAATCAATATAAAAGATAAGCTTTTGCCATAGTTGTATCTTATGATCGAAATCATGAAAAGATTTGAAACTTTCATAATAAATTATTTTCGTTAAGGTATATCTCTATGTAAAGCTTCAAGTTCAACATCAAGAATAAGTTTTCCTTATATTCCTGAGGAGAACTACAGCATTATATTAAAAAACAATTTAAGAATGAAGCATCTCAGCAACAATAATCTAAGAGCCCGAACTCTTTTCAGAATATTCAAAATTCATTAGGACCTACTCTATATACATAATCTAAACTCCAAAGCGACTTCCCTATCATATTTGCCATTCATAAAACTAGGATTAAATGGTAACCAAAGTCATAGAAAAAAAAATTCTTTCAACTAATGTTTTGTTAATGAACGTAACAGTTTATAATAACTAATTTTCGAATAAAAAATTCTTTTTTTTTTGAAATAGCATTGGATATATCTAAAGAAGAAATGAATAATGATGATGAACAAGAAGTACCTGGCAATGATGAAGATAACATTGATGAACCACCAAGTAAAAAAGCAAAGAAAATCAATACGAAAACTACTCTTATGGATAATATGACATACAATGAACGATTTGGTGTATGTATATAACAAAGAAAAAAATAGAACGACATTTTCGATTTCATTTATTAAAAAACGACTTTTCCTTTTCGAATGTCTGTAAACATGCTGATTATATACGTGACTATACAGCTGATCTTGATAATAATTTATGGTGTCGTTAAGAATATTTATTTTGTTTTTCAATTGTTTCTCTTTCATTATTTATATGTTAATTCTTAATTCTTCTTGTTATTGTCTATCACAAGAGTAATCTTCTCTTTATACCAGATAGTAATGCATTTATCATATCAGTTGGTAATCGAGTGAATATGATCGATTTAAAAATATATTCTATATGATTAATTGTTGATCAAAATCAATATTTTATTTTAGTGATCGATCAGAAACATTATCATTTGAAAGTGAATTTAATACTATTTGTTCAACTCTCTCATCT